TATTTAATTGGATACTTTCCCAAACAGAATAAAGAGAAGAGAGAAGGTAAGCAACCACATTTTTTTTAAGTCTCTGATTCAGGTCGGTAAATATGATGTCATCACCTCTTCTGGCTCTTAAAACATTCTTTTCTACCATGATGAACTCCATGCTCACAGTGTCAGCCAAAACAATAGTCATCCCTTAACTTGCCTTTCTTAATTATTTAGCTATAACATATGCACTTGTTCATGTACTCTCTCTCTCATGCACAACACACACACACACACACACACACACACACACACACACACACACACATACACTTGTTATGCCATTCTACCTGTTCAGAGGCTGACAAAAAAACATTCCACCTTACCTCTCACTGAATTTTCTTCAGCTGTTTGACAAAATAAACCTCACATCACTTTTTTGAGGCAATGACAGAATCATAATAGAAACTCTATTCACAACAAATAATTCGGCATTAATAAAATTTAAAAATAAACTTTTCCATTCATTAGATTCGGGGAATGAGAAAATAGTCTATGTTGACTGTTTTTATGTGAAGTTCCTTATTGGAAGTTGAATAGTGTTTGGTACTAAATGAGTGTCCAAGGATTGTTACATCCTGAAAATTACCATTTTTATAACTGGTCCAAGTAGTGCTATAAGTCACAACCTACCTTTGTAAACATTGTAGGCCATTGTATGATCTGCTCAGATAAAGACAACTGTTGACCCTGTGGGGCATTTGGAGAAAAGGTTCCCACTTTCACCTTTAATCCCAGACCCTTTGGAAAATTCCAAAAATTGAGAATGTCATACTCTGAATCTAAGTTTTTTTTTTTCCCATCCATTACATAATTTTTTCAGTAGGGTCTTCTTTAAGAAAGGAATGAGCTAAAAAAAAAAATGCAAGAACACATGTGGAAGTACATCTGAAATAATAAAGCCATTTTTTTAAAAAAAGTAATACAAAGAATCTCAGTGTTTTTTAATTCCACATGGCAAGAAACATCTTTAAAGGCACCATCATTGTGGCTGAGTAAATAAACAACATTAGAATTGTAATGTATTGAGTTTCAAAAATATACTTTTCAAGATAAATCAATAAACTAAAGACGCTAAGACAACAAGACACCAAGTTATATGGGTTCAGCTGACTCAGATTTCTTTGAAAAGCTGCCCACGCTTTGCCAGAGTCCAACCCCAGGTGAAGTCAGGGCCTGACTGTGTGGATGCAAGAGTGATAAGGAGAAGTGAGTCAGCACAGGGATCCTGTCTGATGGGCAGTTTGGGTCCTTTTTTGTACAGAGAGAACCTAGTAGGCAGGGATAGATGTATCCTGCTCCAAAACATAGCTCATAATATTTTTGTTTTAAGACATGTGTTTTAACTTCTACTTGGTCATAAATTTAGTCAGCATTGATAAACCATGGAAGAACAGAATTATTTTTTACAATAAATTTCCCTCATCAATCCCACGATACAAATTCTAACAATACAGCAGATTCAAGGGCATATTATGTGAAAGCATGACAGCATGTCCTTGTAGTTTGGGAGTCTTCAAGGGCACTAGACAAAAAGAAAACACCCAAGCCAGCCTGGGTAGATTGTCATGTCCCAAGCAGTGTATTGTCAACTTTTAATAGTCATTATGGCCAAGGAAAGTCTTCAAGCCAAAACTGCTGCAGTTATTTAATTTCTGCCATAATACAGCATTTATATTTTATATACTTGTAGAATTTATTTATATGCCCTGTCTTGGTTGTAGTGCTCGTTTTAAAGTCTGTTTTATTTGAGGTTCTTTAAAGCCTCTCCCTTCCAATCCTCTAACCCTAAATAGGAGAATGTTAGTGGGGAAAAGAGGCACAGACCCCTTTACTTCTCCCAGATGTTTAGGATTGATGGGTTCTTTTAGGGTTATACCAATCTCCATGAACAACAAACACAGCCAACAGTCTCCTCCAAGCCACTGTACCCCAGAGCACCTCTCTTCATCTGTCTGCTCTAAACCACCACACCATCCATCTCTGGTCCCTCCACACTGCCACTCACCACACACCACCACTGCATGCCATGCCACACTTTTTCTTTCTAGGCTCTTATATTTATATCCTCAGAGCCCTAGAGCACACTCCACAGTGTATGAAGCAGGCTATTACCACCTGTCCGAGGCCATGTCTTACAAGAGACAATTATCAGCTATGGACAAACTAAAACCCAACTAAACTCCCAGACTTGGGATTAAAACAAAAATATATCTATATAATGTAACTGAGTTTTTAAAGAAAGCAAAACTTCCATTTTGCTTGGTATTTTTTTCCCTTGGTCTTAGGACACCACAGTGACTCTAAAGAAGTTCACTTTTCTGGGAAAAGGGAGGTCTTAATATTTTTTTCTTTTATCATTTATCCACACAATTCTTTGTCCATCAGTAGTAGGAAGGGCTTTTAATTGATCTGCTCCCAACTTTTCTAGTGTACTGAATATTATTTACCATGTTAAGTTTACTTTGGTTATTTTGTTTCTGAGTAAGTGCAGGGACAGATGTGCCAAGAGTATCTTTGATTCAGAGCCTCTTAAGAAGGTCTCTGACACAAAGAGGATGGACATCAGATGAAGGAAAAAACAGGGAACAGGACAGGAGCCTGCCACAGAGGGCCTCTGAAAGGCTCTACCCTGAAGGGTATCAAAGCAGATGCTGAGATTTATAGCCAAACTTATGGCTGAAAACTCATGGCTGAATACTATTCTATTATGTGGATAATCCACAGTTTCTTTATCCATTCTTTGGTTGAGAAACATCTGGGTTATTTCCAGTGGATATTAGCCATACAATACAGGATAACCATACTATAATCCACAGACCTAAAAAAGCTAAGTAGCAAGGAGGACCTAGGGAGGATACTTAATTCTCATGCAGAAAGGCAAAGAGAATAGACATCGAAAGCAGTTGAAGAGAGGGGGCCAGGATAGGAGCCTACCGTAGATGTCCTCTGAAAGACTCCACCCAGCAGGGATTTGAAGCTGATGCTGAGACTCACAGCCAAGCTTCAGGCAGAGTACAGGAGTCTTATGGAAGACTGGGGTCATAGAAGGACCAGGAGAGGATGGGAGCTCGACAAGAAGACCAACACAGCGACAAATCTAGGCCCAGAGGGGCATGAGGAGACTGCATGGTCCACCTGGCAGAATTATGCTTTTCCTGATAAGATCACAAGGGACTTAATGGTGGCTGTGACCCCATGCTGTCCCCTTGAGCTGCCTCTTAGAGGCAGGTTCTTTGATAAAGGATGAGCCTAATCGCTGGATCTAAGTTAAGATTGCTTCCTTTTGTTATATGAATGGAGCCTAACTGGAGGTGGGTCTCTATGACCAAACATTAACTTTCTCAGTAACCCTACACTTCAATTGTACAATTGTTTTTTTTTTTTCTCATAGTTTCTAAAAAGCCCGGTTAGTAGACTTTTTATCTTCCAGTCATACTGAAGATAGCTCTTTCTCTGAATTCAAGTTTGTGTAACTGAGCATTTTCTAAGAAGGCTTCTTCATAGATCCTTTGTTGTATTAATCTCTTTCAAGTTTCTCCTGTATCAGCACAAGCCTGTGATTGCAGTGTCCCCAGAAGCCAGAAAAGGGTGTTGAGTCCCTTGGAGCTGGAGTCACAGGTAGTTAGTTGGTACCAGCCAGAAAGCAGCTGGGAACCCAGCTTCAACCTCTGCAATACACACCTGCTGAACCTGGTAAGGGTCTGTGATTGTTCAGAGATTCGCCAATCTGAACATGAATATAACTTAGCAAAGAGACTTTTATGCACATACTAATGCCAAGGCTTCACTCGGGACTCAGAATTCCCAAATGTAGCCCAGAGCCACATTAGTCTAAGTTAAAAATGAAAAAAAAAAAAAAAAAAAAAAAAAAAACCCAAAAAAAAAAAAAAA